CCGTCAGCAGAATACCAATCGCACTGCCAGAAGTCTTCAGTGTAGCCACGCCATCATCTTCAAGTGATGGCTGCTCGCTTGTGCATTACTACAATGTCTAGACTTGCGGTACTTACCGCGCGTGTTAATAAACGCGTTTCGTTTTGCACATGTGGCACCTCCCACGTTCCTGGGTGCCATGTCAGCACCTGACAGTAGATAGCAGATTGCGAAGGAGAAGTTGCTACGATACCAAATTGTAATGAACCCAGTCTGGCAGATACTCAGAAGTTGTCAAACATCAGTAGTCTCGTTATCTGCATCAAAGTCTCCAGATCGTGAAGTGATAATTCAAACAGTATCTCATTATCATCAGAAGAAGAGAGTGGAGAGAGAACAGACAAAGGAGAAGATGAGAGATCAAATAATAATCCCTGCAGATCCCTTTCCTTCTCCGGGCTTCCTCCCTCTCCACATCAACAGTGATAACAAGTATATTCCTGATCACATACAATAGTGCCACGTGGCACTACCGTGAAGACATAGCAGATTCCAGTGACGACGTCAACCTCCGGTGAGTACCCGACCTCCTTCATCTACAGATCCTGATCTTCTCCTCCTCGCAACCAGTCACCTCATGTAGACAGTGTGGACAATGCCACATCAGCAGACGAGACAGGTGGCATATGTCACATCATCAATGAAGATCAATAGCAGCGCCACGTAGACCAGAGGCAGCACCACATATACCAGAGGCAGCACCACATATACCAGAGGCAGCGCTACGTCAGCATGCCACGTTGACCAGAGGCAGCGCCACATATACCAGAGGCAGCACCACGTCAGCATGCCACGTAGACCAGAGGCAGCGCCACATATACCAGAGGCAGCGCCACATCAGCATGCCACCTCAGCAAGCCTGGCGCACAATGCCGAAGGCGCCAGCATGCTGTCACCGCCTCGTACTGTCGCCCGCACTGCCTGAACACAGCCGGCATCGCACCAGCATAATGCAGTCAAAGTCAAGCCAGCGTCAAACCAGCATAGCAAGACTGAATACTGACCACCTCGAGGCCAGTCTTTAAAATAGTATTTGGCGAGGCTCTCTGGCCTCGGGTATCCTTCCCTCAGTCGTCCAGATTGAGTCGTAGCCGAAGGCCTGGATCGTACAGTTGCAGACTTTCCCCTTGGACCTTATGCTGCAAACAAGTGTGTGTGCTTGACCGGCGGCCTGGACTGGGTACCTTTGGACTTTGACTGTTGGGGTCAGGGCAGTTGACAAAAGTCAACTGTCTCACGTCCAGGCCCTGAATTTTCGTGTGGGGTCTTGGCCCCTGTTTCGGCCTGGGATGAGGGCGGCCGAGTTGGCCCTCAGTCTTTCCATGAGACATATGGCATCGGTTATTGCAGTTAGTTTGAAATCGGAAACAAATTTACCAGATTGGTTAAAACTCGATGATTCCATTCAAAAAAAAAAATCCTGTCATTTGTCCTCAAGCAAGGTTTTCCTGCAACATCCAGAAGTCTGACTTCCCATCATCAGCCTTGCTCTGTAAGAGTAGCAAGAAGTGAATTCATCAGTCACACACACTGTTAGTGAATCAGGCAGAAGCTAACTGACGTTTTGCTTTCCACTGTGTCTCCTTTACATGCAGGGATTTTTCAGGAGCAGGCACTGTGTTTGAGATTGCCGTGGTTGGCAGAGGGCTACAAGTCATCCACTGCATGACATGATCTCTCTCTCTCTCTCTCTCTCTCTCTCTCTCTCTCTCTCTCTCTCTCTCTCTCTCTATATATATATATATATATATATAGAGAGAGACGATATATATATATATACGATATATATATAGACGATATATATATATAGATATATATAGTACATGTGAATTTTCTATGTCTACTGATTGATTCTTGTATTTAACAAATTTTTTGAGATCCGCTAGGATTTTTGGATCAACAAAAATATAAAGAGCGACTTGGGGAACCTGGAGCAAGCTTTGGGAAATTGTGTACAATTAGCATATATACCAGTGGGTACTTTGATTCAATATTCTGTGTGTGTGTGTTGTTCACGTGCCATTCTCTCTTGCTCTTTGCATGTGATTGCTCTACCCAGCTGGTTTCTGCTGTGTTTTGCCATCTTTCCTTACTGCAGTCCTGAAGGATTCTGCATCCCTCTCTGAGAATGATTTCCCTGGGGAGGATTCTCCAAGCACCAGAACCTTCTCATGCCACAACCCTGAATACTTTTTCATTAAAGTTGTTTGCATGAAGATACCATTAAATTTAAAGTTTCACACTAAATTTTTCGTGATCATATTTCTTAAAGAAAAAATGAGCGATCAATATTGCCTTTCCACAGCCACCACCCTAGTGTCCCCAAGTGAAGTCAGCAATGCCCTATATGACAGAGTGTTCCTGGCTAATGGAATTGCAAGAAGTGGCGAGCAAAACTGCTTATAGTGCAAGGAATATGAGTGTGAACGATATACCGAAAATCAAGTTGCGAAATCACACACATGTACAAGTAGTCGTGTCCAAGCAGAGAGTAAAAATGCACCGAGAAAACCATCCATATAGAGCATAGTTGCGGCGCACTGGTACGGTGCGCCGTGCAGCGCGGGGCGCTGTGCGCCATGCGAGGGTGGTGCACGTGCACGTGCGCG